TATTGTCATCCAATCACATAGCAGTTTGCATGGTGAATCTATCAGTGCTGACAAAAAAGACAAAGATAAGATGGACCAATGCTCAAACAGAGAAGAAGGGCATTGACATTGCCATGGTTGATCCTTCTTGTCATCATTGCATTGTGCTTTGAAATTTTCATACTTGTCACTTGAAATTTTCTCAATTGTCACTAAAGGTTCCACAAGAATTGCATGTGGTGACCACTGGTTGTTGGAAAAAAGAAACCTCCAATTTGAAGTTAACAAATACAGCTCCTAATAGTTTGATTGAAAGGCCAGATTCATTATTGAGTGACCTTGAACAAATGTTTTTGTTTTGAGAAAAATCAATCCAGACATTCAGTCATTTCGAAAAACATCTCTGTAATAACCTAGTAGCAGTATACACTGTAGAAGAAGTAGAAGTTCAATGATTTGAATGATTGAAGTTATCAACTAAAAATCATTACTGTATGCAGTTGTCATGAAACCCATTGTAGCCATCCACATGTAATACTACTAGGACAATTAGAACTGCTCTGATATGGCCAGAGACCAGCTTGTCATTTGGGAAAAGTTTGCTATTAATGTTAGGAAGACTGACCTGTGTCATTGTCACATGGCTGTATGCCTAGAGGAGCTGGCGGAAGCCCACCAGCATGAATGGCCACCAGTGTTGCAAATTTTGCTGGTATTACAGAAGGGCTACTTAGTAGAGAATAGCCAAGAACTTTATCAAAAATCAACTCTTGGACAACCAGACTAGGAACCCAGTCCAAGTTGATATACTAGTTACTCAGAGATCCATATCAATGGAAAGCCAAAAGAGGCTCAAGCGACTTAAAGCTAATGTGCCAAAGTTACACCAGTAGATGGACAGAAATTGTGTGTTGATTTTATGTCTAATTTTACTTCTAATTTTACTCAGAATTACCGTGCGTTTTGTAACAATTGAATACAGCCACCCCAATGCACAAGTAGTCTCCAGTTAAGCCTTAAAGGGTTAAGACAAAGTTATCAACTTTGAATGAAAGTTGTCAACTATTTCAAGTAGGGCTACTACGCAGGCAATGTACTAGCCCCTCATCATGGCACACTGGCTGGCTGGCCAGCAGCTGCTCAGTAGGGGGGAAAGAAGGAGGAGGAAGATTAGCTTTTTTGGAGGGTCCTTTGTAGGATCTAGTAGTACCAGGATCCCCRTAGAAAATTGCCAATCAAGGGAGTGGATAGCAGATTTTGGTCAAAATCACATGGTTTTTATCAGGCATTTGAAATCTACTGTGTCTTACAGGTGTCTTGACCTAAACCTGCCTCCAGCATGCTTACCTAAACTGTTCTTTTCATTCTATTGAAAACCTGGTTCAAAGCAACTGACCATGGGAATAGCTCTTTTCCAAGTACTTCCATTACTATAAATCAATATATCTCTTCAATTGTCAATTTAACAAGCCTTGAACTGTAGGAAACAGGCAAGTTTAACCCATTTTATTGTGTGTTCAGTGTTAGCTTCTTTTTTACAACGACTAACATTCTTCTTCTTCCTCAACAGTATGAGCAACAGTATGAGCAACACTAGGCACCCTCCAGGGACCCCTATCCCCACCCTTAGCTTTGAACAAACTCATCTACTGTATCAAATRGCCTATTTGGAGAGGAAGAAATTCCTTCCCCTTGCAAAGAAGCAGCATCTTTGCACCATTCAGACAATCAATGAAGGACAAGTTGAACCCCTCTTCCCTGGCAATGATGTCAAGGCGCTGAGACATGAGATGTGAATGCTCCATGCTGATGTTGTTCTCTCTGCTGGCCTAGACAAAAGAAAGCATGAGAAGGCATGGAGATCTCACTATGCATCTTCCATCCTTGCTTCTCTGTGTTTTCGTGGAGACAAGGAAAGGGGTGGATTTTCCTACTGTAACCAGCCACTGCACTAGCAGATCCAGGAGCATCAATAATGCAACAAGTGTTCCAATCCGGCCACTTCCAATTGATTGCCCAAGCTGCTGTCAAGCAAGCTGTGGAAAAACAGGAGAGGCAACAGTAAAGCAGAACAAGAGATCTTCCATCAAGCAACAGAGGGATGGAAGAAGAAARCAGAACAAGATCTCATTTAATCCATCCAAGGCRCCAGAGTCATTGCCTTTCCCAGAGTGTGGCTGTTTGTCTTTCATGCTAGTAATTGACTCTATTGAATCAGTCAAGGAAAATATCCAAGAGGTGTTTGAAAAGTTCACCCAAGAGATAGAGGAATTTGAGAGAAATAGGGGGGAAGAGCMAAAGTATCCAACATTAGTACTAGTAGCACAGGAGATTGGATGCTSGGCCTGCAGGATCCATTGCAAGTACAAAGCAGATGGAGGGCACTGTCCTGAATGCAGCAAGCCAGGGGCAGATTGCWTGAAGCAAGACACAGRAGGAAATCCAACTTGCTCTTGTCCTATTTGCAATTCCAGCTGYTCTATTGTCTTCAACAGACATGWCTTGCACAAATCTTCCTTCCAGGCTGACAAGGAGRSAGCCAATTGTCTAMAGACTGAGSAACTAACTAACTCTTCTTGMYCTTCAAACATATYATCCCCACAACACTTGAGAATGGGGTKATTGATGCAGTTCTAGCAACAGTGCATCCAGTGGATCATCCAGRGAATGTTCATGATGGGTATGCTCATGCAGGCAGTAGGTTGCTTGCCAAGTCTAGTCTCCAGGGGAACACATCCATGAGGGGTGCTATGAAAGAGTTTGGACCAATGAGGACCCAGACCAGGGATGGGGTATCCATTGGTGCTCTCAGAAAGGGAGGACTGCAGCAGCAGATCCAAATCTGGCAGCATCAATAGGATTTGGTATTCTTAATCCAATGCAATTGCAACTACRACAGCCTCAGAGGCATCAGCAAGAATCCTGCCAGCAGTCACAGACTCCTAGCACTGTGAGGCATGGGCCTGCTACTTCCAACCCCCAGGACAACAGGTTCCACAGGAATTGGCTAGAGACTGTTCCTGAGAGGAATGATACTCGCTCCCCACCACTAGCTATCCAGCAGCTTGCCAATGCTGGTGGTGGTATTGCTGTGCACCCTCCTCCAGCAGTGACAATGCTCCTCCAGCTCCTGTTTCTACAGTTATAGTACTAGAGGATCCTCTAGCTTGCATCCTATCAGTATTCTTGATAGCAACAGTGATATCTCAGGCTTCCTCTCCAGCTTCGTCTACAGTGCAGGCAAGGTGGACGTGAATCCTGAGCCTATCAAGTCTGAGTTCAAGCTTCCTCCCTTGCTGAGGCACTCCAAGGGCTCCTCTGTTCTACTAGCAGCTACTCCAGAATTTGGTCAGAAGATCAGGAAGGAAGCCATCAAGTAGTCAGTTCTTGGTACTCATTCTGCTTCCAAGCAAGAGGCCCTGAATCTACTGTCTATGCAGCTCCTCACGTCACACTGCAGATGACACTAGTACAGACACCATGGCTTTGAAGAAGAGGGCAAAGGAAATTGAGAGCCTTTGTCCCAATGTGGAAAAGGTCACTGATTCCATGGCAAAGTTTGTCTGACAGGGCCAGTTTGAATGTAGTAGTACTAAGTGCTTCAAACAGAGCAATTCCCATGGTTGGTTGCTTGTTTGAATTGAGGATTTTTTTAGAATGACAGAACAGTTTGCTGAGGATTGTGCTGGAGGGAAGTTTATAGGTTGAACACAGTAGGCTCCAGTAGGATTTTGAAAGCACAGTAAAAACCAATTGATTTTGACCAAGATCTGCAGTCTAGTAGTAGTACTACTACTACTTCCTTGATTTGCTATTCTCTACAAGAAGGCTCCTGCTGGTACGGAATCCTATGAGGAATCCTCCTTTTTGGTCTTGCTGCTGATAGTTATTTTCAACCATTTGTGAAATTTTCAACTGTTAAATGACATCAGCAATTGCTTAACCACTTACTAGCCGCAATCAGCAATTGCTTAACCACTTACTAGCCGCAATTCAAGCTGTGCTTGTAAGTTACTGTATTAGCTAAGCAGAGCATTCACAACGTTGAATTGAAGCAAAAAACGCAGTACGGTACTCATTTCTACACAGGGCTACGCAGCTATTGGGAACCTCACCGCGTTTCAACATCCTCTCGCATTCGAAGCGAGCAATCCCGAAAACTAAGCAGTCCCGGTTGGATAGGTGTGTGCCCTTCCAGCCAATGATCTCGATCGGGCTGCCGCCACCGAAAGCAATTATGTTGGAAAACAATTCTATCCGAACAGTCACCGTGAATGACAACGAACAACGTGCCCTGTGCTCTACCTCATGRCATGTAACAGTATTAAGTTGCCGTGGTTTGAAAGCATAAGTACGTACTACACCAGTAGAATTAACCGCCCGAACGACCAAGAGCATCGCGATCAATTGAATCATGGCGTCACATGCAAGTTCGCTGCCGCCGACGAACAACCAGAACCAGCAATACAATGCTTTGTTGGAATTCAGAGCCGGCGTCACGGCATGCCTTATTAGCTGGTCGGCACTGCGAACCGCAGTTGAAAGTGGCTGGGGCGGCGGAGAACGCGAATCCCAGAAAAAAGCCGAAGATCTTCGTTCCCACATCTTTTCTGCAATGGACGGACGGTTTCCTTTGCCAAACTTCGATGCCTTTGAGCTCGCGGACAATCTGGCCATCTACATAGAAGAAGAATTTTCCGTCACACTAGAAGACGAATCGGAACGCCAATTGGCCGAATTCATCTTTCACATGTACGAGCATTGCTTGAAGGGAGATCCTACGTCGGCAAGACAGATGATCGCCCAAGCAGCGAGTGCAGTGGCATTGAATAGCCATTATCCGGTCAGAGTACAAACAACCGAGCATGACGACGACGACGACGACGACRAAATGGCGGGACCAACCAACGATACTGCTGGAATTCAATCGCCTCCGCAACAGTTAATACAGAATCCAATGGCTCCATTGAATCTMGCTGAATATGTCGATCGGCCGATGTTTGGAAAACCTAAGAAACAAAATAATTTTGCTGCCAAGCCCGTTCGACAGCTAGGAGAAACTAGTGCWGATACTGGAAATGCAGTAGAGATGGACGACGATGGCTTTGCGCCAGTGAAGAAAGGRAACCGGCGACGCCCCTGAAACGTTTTCTTCCTTTTTAGGATTATSCTGCCTTCAGAATGAGTACAAAATACTTCGACTAGTTAAGGAGTGTGCTGTACAATAAATAGAAGTATCTTCAATCGATTACCTCTGTATGAATCTATCATGTGTTTCATTTCCTTTTCTTGCTAATATCCTCCRTAATCAAACAAGGAGTCAGTTCGTACAAGTTTCTCTATTGTCATATCATCATCTGAAACAGCACTCAAATAACCCGACTCTGTCATTTCAATAGCCTCGATACTCYGAGCGCAAGCCCTGCGGTCTCGTATCACCATAGTTGGTGACGAACCATGTTCATGATGTCGGTGGATGTCTCTTCGAATGCTTTCCATGATATCGAAGTCTCGGATCACACACCGCTTRACAAGCCGTCGCTCTAAATTCAGCAAAGCATTAGATGCTATTGGTTCTCTCAAATAAGACTGCATGTATTTTTTCTCGTCTACACCCACATCAATGTCAAACCAGCTCAGAGCACACTCTGTCGTGAGTCCCAGTACAAAAACTGTGATCAATATAATTGCCATGGTTGTCATGGCGAATTCATTCCGGTGACCCAAGTCATCGGGAAAAGTACGGACGCAAGCGTAGGCTACAGCTCCACGAAGTCCGCAGAACCAGAGCATATGGGTGGTATTCCCTCGAATTTTTAAGTCTTTGCTTTCCCAAGGTGTAGCTGTTACCTCGGTGGCAACTGATTGATCGGAAAACGATTGTGTTCGAAAACCTAATTCAGCGCTTGCATTTCGTTGCGGTGATGCATTATGGTACGCATTGTGTTCTGTATTAGCATGGCGGGAAAAGTTTTGATTTTCGAAAGTAGCGTGTTGAGTTTTCCGAGAATTTCTTCCTCTCTCTCCCCAAATCATATCAGGCCCGCCAGAGGAGTTTGTTGTAGTGGGGGTCACTACCTGCTGCTGTCCGATACCTTCCTTAGTTCCATTATTCATCGTAGGGTGCTTTGTCGAGCTATAGTCCGACCACCCGCGGGTTGGAGATGGCATCATGTCTTTCAGAATCAGCATCCTATTGAAGATGAAAGCGAGAGGATAGAYGTTCAATGCCCTCGCAATCAAACAGGCGAGTGTCGCACAACCRATGAATACCCAATTCCAATATCCTACCATCCCGAAAACTGAAAGTCCTAATTCCAAAAAGATCGCTGTTTCGGCCAAATGCGCCCCCAATCGGAAGACCATRTCTGAATTTACTTTTGTGATAGCGGAAAGATTCGGAACAATATATCGATTTGCTGCAACACCCGTGAAAAGAATGGTCACAATTCCTGACAAATGAAGGATTTCCGAGATCAAAAAGGGAATGTATACAAGCAACACGTAAACAGAAATTTCGACGAGGCGGTTTTGTCTCATGTCGATCTGTTTGAATAAAAAGGCCGCACAGCATCCACCGAAAGTTCCCAAAACCGAMGATCCGACAAAATTCGTAAACAAATCGATGAAGAACTTTTTGAGGGCTGCGACGATGTCGTTCTCTTCGTTGTTGATCGAGACAAACTTTCCGAAAGAATAAAACAAGACGATGGCCAAGGCGTCATTCAAAACTGATTCTCCGAAGCACAAGTAGAACAGGCGAGGATCTACACGTTTGACTTGAAACACGGCCAGCGTACTGACGGGATCAGTAGAAGAGATCAATGCTCCAAAAGTCAAYAACTCTGCCAAASTCGGCTCAAATCCTCCGGAGAGTCCCATCTGTACAAATCCGTACAAGATTAATGCKGTAGCAATAGCACTGATTGCCGTTCCCACGATGGCAAACATTATTATAGGTGTTATGTGCCGGAAGAAGAGAGGRCCCATGCGCAGCCCGGTGTTGAAAATAATCGGTGGCAGCAAAAAAATAAAGAAAAATTCCGGATTGAAAGAGAGCAAAGCAGCCAAATCGTAGTCTACTGATTGTTGTTGTTGTTGTTGGTCGTCGTCGTTGTTGTTATCGTTGTTGTTATAAACATTGTAGTTGTTGGCGTTTGCTAAGCGCTTCCCCAATACTATATGAATTAGATAACCAGCTACCATTCCAACAGCAATCACCATCGCCGCTTCAGGCACGACCGAAGATATGTGCTTAGACTCATGTAGGTACTTCGATAAGATGAGGACTGTMGCCAACAAAGTCACGAAGAGGACCAGAAAGATCGAAATGTTTTCCTCAGCCATGGTATCAAAATACACTTTCTCACAAAACCTTCCTGTCTTTAGGTAAGATGAGATAGGTCTTAGGTGTTCAACCTTTGAACCTTTGTGTTCAATTTATTATCTGTTACTGAATCTTCGATACCTACTCGATGAATACGTATACCTATGACGGCACTTGTAACAGCACTTGTGCTAATGATCCTTTGTGGAAAAGTCAAATAGGAGTCGTATGYAGTCTACCAGTTAGCGGTACAGGGCCTTTGGACCTCCTAGTTCCTATCGGAAGGTAGCACTGAACAACGTTCAGTAGCACAGCACTTGTACTCGTACTTCTATTGACTTTGGATTTATTTCGAAACCGACGATAACCGTTTCTRAAAGTCAGCCCTACTAAAAACAAGCAAGCACCGAGGAAAGCTGTTGTAACTGTACGTAATAACGGTAATAAATAGTAATGTGGTTCAGTCCTCAGTCAATAATTTACTCGTGTTTTCGCCTGTTAATAAAACAATTTGCAACGGTCTCTATGAACGTACTGGGTACCGTACGGTACCAATAGCTTCGTCGTGGTACGAGTACGTACGTATGAGAGATATTGTTTACAGTACATTTTACATACATGACATAGAACCCTATCATATGCTACGGTACATGTGATCGTAATAGAATAGATACTTTAGTCAGGGGAGTCATTTACCGTCTTTATCTCTTACTTGTTACTCATTTTAAACGCAACACTATTTTGCTTGTTCAATCCAACCATCGACAATATSATCCTACGAGGCACCTACCTACCAGAGATACCTGAATCGTCGGAGGCTTACGAACATAGCGAATACAACCTACTTAGTCGAAGCAAGGAAGAATTGATCAACCATGGCAGGTACGACGATTGGAAACAATGACTGCCTTGCGTCGGAATAATTGTGGAACCCCTAAGGACTGATGACGGCAATCGGCATCGCTAAGTGGGATCTCATTGCGCTCTGTTCTCACGCTTTCTGTATCCACACGACTTATTTTTTGTATTGACTGTGTTGYGTCGTTGGTCCTGGGTATTTTAACAAACCGATTTATTTGACAATGATAGGCAAAGCATCAGCTGTAGCAAACGCTCTCAAGAAGGGTATCTCGAAGAAGGGGACTCGCATTCACACCAGTGTTCACTTCTACAAGCCCAAGACATTGAAGGCTACCAGAAAGCCTAAGTATGAACGAAAGAGCACCCCAAAGAAGACCGGACTCGACACATTTTCYGTGATCAAGTACCCTCTCACCACCGAGTCTTCGATGAAGTTGATTGAAGATAGCAACACACTTGTTTTTATCGTCGATATCAAGGCCAACAAGCGTCAAATCAAGGCCGCCGTGCGAGAACTTTACAACATTGAATGCGAGAAGGTAAACACCCTCATCACTCCCCGAGGCTTGAAGAAGAGCTATGTCAGACTGAGCAAAGATTACGATGCCTTGGATGTTGCAAACAGAGTTGGAGTCATCTAAAATCGTCTAAACAATTTCTAGAATAAAGAGACGTTGTCATCACCCCCGAATAAAATTATTCGATCCATCTGATAGGATTCTGTGCATTATTTTATAAATCGGTCGGAGATTTGCGTCTTCAAGGCTAGGGTGCTGACGACTAGATTATGGTGGTCGGGTGTGTAACGACTCGCTACGTTTAGGTCTGGGTAAAGAATTTCACCGCGTCCGACATCTACTTTMTTTGAACTTCTGATTTGGATACGAACAGGCATGGCGGCATTTCTTTGTTGGGGACCAATAGATTTACGTTGAAGACTCGGTCTATTGTAATGGTTTTCTATAGCAATGTGTGTACTTCCTGCGAAATACTTAAGGTGTTCGTTCTGTGATACGGAGTGAACCACTTCYTTTTGTTTCCTGATCATACCGGTGAATATTCGCGAAAATGTTCAAATAATRTCATGCCCTCCTGTTACCACAGATTTTACACATGTAGTCCATCCCATTATTCACGAAAGTGCATCTATCACATGCCCAATCGATRCGATTCATAGAAACTAAAGGTGAAGGTGTGGATCGTCTCGTCCKGTTTGATTGTTCGTCAACAATTTTCGTTCTCTTTGACTTGTTTACACGATAAGAAGTTGTGGGTGGAAGAGGGGCTGAAGGGGTTGGTATAGAGGAAGARACCGATTCCCTTGATGAGGACCTAGGTGTTTTAATACTSTTGACAACGGGGTTCCGTGTTCCACTGTGAGGCACGTCAGGGCAGGCTTCAATATCAATCACATCGGGAGAAGATCTASAAGGTTTCGTTGAAGATGTCTGATCCTCGCAATSGTCTGATAGTATGCGTTTATGACTATCGTTCTCTCCGCAATCATTTCTTYCGTCACAGGGAGCCTTCACAGCGATGGTGGATGAACCAGATTCTTTCTCTTTACGATCTCTCAATTGCTTCACTAAAGAATCGAAGTTTGAATTGATTTTCTTGTCAAACTTCGCGTTGCCGCTAGTAATATTTCCACTTTTCATATTTTCATTCAGTTTCTTAATGCAGTTCATATCACCCGCGGCACCGGTGATRAGAGCACGCTTCTGTTCGTCTCTTTGCGCATGTAATTCGTTCTTAAGCTCTACTGCCAGATCGGACGGTGTCTTCGGCTCGATGCTGTCCACTTCAGCGTTCCACATGCTCTGGAACTTCCGCATTCGATCTATTAGTTCTTGTTCATTTCCAGTCTTTGGAATATTGTATTCTATACATAGTTTTTGCAGTTCGGTTTTCTTCATTCGCGAGTAATTTCTTGACTGCATCTTTCTTTGGATGGGTAAGTCCTTCTTATCTTCGTAACCGTTGCCGATATTTTTTCTTTTGCCCCTCGTGCATTTGTCTTCATAATCTAGATTAYTTTCCGATGGTCTCTGAATTTTCCTTCGTTGTCTCGTTATCTGGGAACGAGGTGGTGGTGAATTTTCATTCACGTCTTTCGATGATCTATGATGGTTCAATAATATTTGCTTGAAAGATTTGACACTATCTTGAATACTTCTATTCATTACCAGAGCCTTGTCTACATCCATGGTATTAACAACTGTTCGGCATAATGGACAAGCACGCTCTTGCCGGTGAGCGCCACGCCGTACTGCCACCCAGTGGCTACGGATACACACCGAGCAGAAAGTATGACCACACTCCTTTATCGTAACTGCTTTGTCGAAAAGACTGAAACAAATTCCGCAGCGAAAAGTTTGGTCAAGATCCTGAAAGATTTTGGGTATGTTGCCTTCCTCAAAAATTGTCGTTTCTTCGTCTGACCCTTCATGTTGTTGGTGCTCCATCTTGCCTTGTCWTCGAGAAGTCGATCTCGCGACTAGAAATTCAGCTAAGGTTGTTGTCAACTGTGTGCTGTCGGTTTTATCCCGTTCGCAAATTTGTTTGAGCAAATCGTTTCTTGCTGGGTTTGCCTCTTAGATATTCCTGAAATTATACTCTTWACCTGTATCAAYGTGACGAAAGACATCGACGATGGTGATCCTACCAATGACAAGATGTTTTTTGTTTTGTAGTAGTTGCTTGTTCCAATTTGATGGCGCGAAAGTCGAAACAAATGTTATTTCCTCCGTCCCATGAATTGGTCTGCTTCGGTGGCAGTGGAAGTCGAACGCACTGTATTGGGAATCAGTGTTCAATATTCAACAATAACCTCACCCCTAATATATATATTTTGTGCTAATTCGTGCGTACTAGTAGAGGTTATCAGATCCTTCTAGAAGTAGTAGTACTACTACTGATAGTAGTAGGTTTCAGTTATTATTATTACTACTACTACTACTACTACTACTAGTACTAGTACTACTACTAGCTACTAGACTGGTACTAGTAGGACTACTACAAAGTACTACTACTAGTACTACTACTAGTACGTCGTCCGGCTTAGAGGCACTGGTAGTATAGTACAGGTGAGTGTGCATCAGTGGTGAAAGGGCACAGTGAGTGTGTAGTATCGGTGAGTACTGCTTTTCACATAGTAGCACTTGTAGCACTACAGCTTGCACTAAAGCTATCACTACAGCTAGCACTACAGCTTGCACTATGTGAAAAATAGAATTAGTACTAGTAGTAGCTTGAGAAAATGAAATAGAAGTAGTTAACCACCAGGAGTAGATCTAGTACTGAAAATACAGCAACTACTAGTATTACTATTTCTGGTACTACTTCTGTTTTTCACATAGTAGTAGTACTACTACTACTAATATAATATATCAATATCAGTAGTAAGAAGCTGGAGCTGGAGCCGGAGCTGGAGGAGCTGGAGCTGTATCTACTAGTAGTGATATCTACTAGAGATATATCTACTAAAGGTACAACTATGTGAAAAATAGAATTTGCTTGAGAAAATGAAGTGGTAGTAGTTAACCAGTAGTATATTTAGTACTGAAAGTGCAACAACTACTAGTATTACTTTTTCTGGTACTACTTCTGTTTTTCACCACAAAGTAGTAGTACTACTAGTAGTAGGATCTAGATCTAGATCTAGATGTTTGTGGTTGAGATTGAGCTGGAGCATACTAGTAAATATAAATAGCATAGAAGTACATATAATTATAGAGCTATATTAGCTAAAGGTACAACTATGTGAAAAATAGAATTTGCTTGAGAAAATGAAGTGTTAGTATCTAACCAGTAGTATATTTTAGTACTGAAAGTGCTACAATTACTAGTATTAATTTTTCTGGTAGTTCTTCTTTTTTTCAAATAGTAGTAGTACTACTAGGATCTTGATCTAGATGTAGATGTAGACTGTTGTGCTACAGCTAGCAGTACCACAGCTTGCACTAAAGCTAGCACTACAGCTAGCACTAAAGCCAGCACTACAGCTAGCACTACAGCTTGCACTATGTGAAAAATAGAATTAGCTTGAGAAAATGATATAGTAGTAGTAGTTAACCAATAGTAGATCTAGTACTGAAAGTACAGCAACTACTAGTAGTATTACTATTTCTGGTACTCCTTCTGTTTTTCACATGATAGTAGTAGTACTACTAGTACTACTAACATAATATTTCAATATTAGTAGTAAGCTGGAGCTGGAGCTGGAGCTGTATCTACTAGAGATAATAGCTCTAGTACCAGCTCTAGTAGATGTAGCAGCTCTTTGGTCTTAGCTCCAGCAATAACCCTCACTATCAGTAGCTTTAGCTTTAGCTCTAGATCTAGCTTTCACTCTAACTCTAGCCCTAGCTTGAACTTTAGCTCCAGCCCTATCAGCTCTAGTAGCTCTAGTTCTAGCTCTAGTAGGTCCAGTTATCAGTGTCAGTATCAGCCAATATCACTATCAGTACTAATACTACTATATGAAAAACAGTATAATTAGTACTACTACAGTAGTACTATTACCATATGAAAAACAGAAATAGTAGCAGAAAATGTAAAACTAGTAGTAGTTATTGTAATTTCAGTACTAGATCTACTACTGCTGAACTACTAGTATTTCTTTTTCTCAAACCATTCCAATTTTGCACATAGTTGTACTACTACTATGCCACTACTACTATATGACAAAAAACAGAAGTAGTAGCAAAAAAAGTAATACTAGTAGTAGTTGTTGTAATTTCATTATTAGATCAACTTCTGCTAAACAACTAGTATTTCATTTTCTCAAACTATTTCAATTTTTCACACAGTTGTAGTAATAGATATCAGCATCACTGGTATCAGCAATAGCAAGAATACTGTAGTCAGTATCACAGTATTACAGTCAATATCAACATCAATACCACTAGCAATATCATTAGGAATATCATTAGGAATATCATTACCAGTATCATTACCAGTATCATTAGGAATATCATTACCAGTATCATTACCAGTATCATTACCAGTATCATTACCAGTATCATTACCAGTATCATTACCAGTATCTGTAGTAGCTGTAACTTTAGCTGTTATCACCATCAGCTTGTTGATACAGAGGATGCTGATATGAAGGATGAAGCTGGAGCTGTATCTACTAGAGATATATCTACTAAAGGTACAACTATGTGAAAAATAGAATTTGCTTGAGAAAATGAAGTGGTACTAGTATCTACTAATCAGTAGTGTATTTAGTACTGAAAGTGCAACAACTACTGCTGGCAATACTTTTTCTGGTACTACTTCTGTTTTTCACATAGTAGTACAACTACTAGGATCTAGATCTAGATCTAGATGTAGACTGTAGTGCTATAGCTAGCACTACAGCTTGCACTACAGCTTGTACTACAGCTAGCACTAAAGCTAGCACTACAGCAGCTATCACTCCTACAGCTTGCACTATGTGAAAAATAGAATTAGCGTGAGAAAATGATATAGAAGTAKTTAACCAGTAGTAGATCTAGTACTGAAAGTACAGCAACTACTASTATTACTATTTCTGGTACTACTTCTGTTTTTCACATAGTAATAGTACTACTACTAGTAATATAATATATCAATATTAGTACTGATACTGATACTGATACTGATACTGATACTGATACTGATACTGATACTGATACTGATACTGATACTGATACTGATACTGATACTGATATATTGGTTGTTGTATTCTTTGGTGTATTGCTTGTTGTATTGCTTGGTCTATCAAAGCTAGAGCTGGAGCTATATCTAGAGCTATATCTAGAGCTATATTTATAGCTACATCTAGATACAGCCTAGGAAGCTACAGCCTGAGCTACATTCTCAATACTACTAGTAGTTACTGCTTGTTGTATTGGTTGTTGTAGTGCTTGGTGTATCGGTCTTGTATTGCTTGTTAGCTAGAGCTATATCTAGAGCTATATCTAGATACAGCCTAGTAAGCTACAGCCTGAGCTACATTCTCAATACTACTTTATACTGCTTGTTGTATTG